CAAAAGCCGCTGAGAGGTCCAAAAGAACTAGGACAGAGGAATAACCCCTGTCCCGGGCCCTCCAGAGATCATTCACCAACGTGACCAATGCCGTTTCCGTGCTGTATCCCGGCCTGAAGCCCGACTGGAGAGGGTCTAGATAGACTGTTTCCTCCAGGTGCCGAGGAAACTGCTGTGCAACCACACTCTCAACAACCTTATTTATTTAATGTTATACAACTTCATCAGGCACCTTAAAATTATTTATTGCCTAACATATGGCTGACAATAATTATTGTCACAGTAGCAGTTCTAAAAATGTCATTGAGCGGGGATTACAAAAAAATTACAGTAGCCTATACCAGTGGTGGCGAACCTATGGCACACATGCCAGAGGTGGCACTCAGAGCCCTCTCTGTGGGCACGCACGCCATTGCCCCAGCCCCGCCTCCCCCCCGCAACCCCCTCCTCACCAGTAGCCTGTCCGGAGAGGCTCCCCCAGGCGCGACCCACGTGGAGCAGCGCAGTCAAGCACATGGCAGCCGGGCAGCAGGGGCAAGACTCTGCCCTCACGCCCCATGATGCTGCGGGGTGTTGGCGGAGGGCGTGGCTGCCATGGCGCCGCAAGGCTGCCTGGGCGATCTGTGGTGAGTGGCCTTGCGGGCGGGTGGAGCAGCGGCGGGCCAGGCCAGTGTTTGGGCACCCAGTCTCTAAAAGGTTCACCATCACTGGCCTATACGATCACTTAAGTGCCTAAAGTATGGTGTCAAGCAAACAGGTGGTTTGAGACACAACTTTTCTAAAGCATTTTTAAAAATGAAGTACAGCAATCTATAACAAGTCTTGAGAAAATATGAATCAATCACTGTGATTAAGTTGCTGCTGCCTTTCCTACTCTAGGATCGCCGCTATGCTGACCTTACTGAAGATCAGCTACCTACATGTGAGAGTTTGAAAGATACCATTGCTCGGGCACTGCCCTTCTGGAATGAAGAAATTGTTCCTCAGATCAAGGAAGGCAAGCGAGTGCTCGTAGCTGCCCATGGTAACAGTCTCCGAGGCATTGTGAAACATCTAGAAGGTAAGTATTCTGTTTGTAACTTTGGAACGAAAGCGGATTTAAGCCTGACTGAATCTAAAAAGTTAGTTGAACCAAAGCTCTCTGGTAATAGGTCCTGAATAGGGTAATATAAGTAAGCTTTTTACCTTGTCATACATTTTCATTTATTTTATTCTTTGCAGGAATGTCTGAGGCAGCAATCATGGAACTCAATCTGCCCACTGGAATACCAATAGTCTATGAGCTGGACAAAAATTTGAAGCCTATCAAGCCTATGCAATTCCTGGGAGATGAGGAGACTGTCCGCAAAGCTATGGAAGCTGTGGCAGCTCAGGGCAAAGTTAAGAAATGAGGGCAGGCAAAGTAATCAGTAGTATAACCCCTTTCCCCTTCCTTAGCACATGCCTCAAGGGACTGGGCTGAAGAGCCAGAGATGGTGAAGTTTATGAGAGCCATGGCTTACCCGTCAACATTCACGTTTCTCCAGCAGGATCTGGCTAGATATTTTAGAGGTGTGGACCATAGATCAGCAGGGTTACTGACAGAAACAAATCCCAAAGCAATGAAATTCAGTGCTGCTGAACTGAACAGGAGACCAAGGTTTTCCCAAGAGAACCTTTGCTATCTTCACGTGAGAACTCCCAATTAGTCAAGTATTGTTTCATTTGGTTTTGCCATTCAAGATGGTTGCAAGGACCATTTTTATTTGTTTTTTGTTTTTTAATTTTGCATAAGCAGCACGCCATTTCACTTAAGCTAGATGAAAAGCCAATTCTTATTTCATTGCCTTCTGAATGTAGGAAAGAAGGGTGAGACTAGAAGAAAGGACTAGCTCCCACTCTGGAATTTCCACCTGTGATCCAATAACTTTGTGTAGTGCCAGTAAACCCTGATACTGTGTATCATCACGTTGCTTTTCTACCCCATAGTTTATGGTTGTCTCTGCCTTCTGGATGGCAGATTTACAGTAGAACTAATTCCACTGTACAATGGCTGAATTTGCCCTAAGTCTCAGTAAAATAAAGGAATTATGTGCAATAGCTGCTGTGTCTGTATTACTTGTAAAAGAGGCTTATTAATATAGTATTAAGAAAAATGTAACTATTGCAATGAAGAACATCACCTGAGTTGCCAATTTTAGATGAAACCAATCTCCTGTGCGTAGGAGAGGGTGAGACTTAAACCAGGAGTACAGATACATGACTATACATATTTTTCAGAGGCCATACTCCCAAAAAACAGGACCAGAATAAAAATAAGTAATTGAATAATTACTAATTAAAAGCCATTTTCTATGAAGTAGTTTATACATGGGTAGCTCTATTGGGAACAGAAAAGGGGACAACTGGATAGAGGAAGCAAAAAAAAAAGCTGGACATGAAGGGCAAGAATAGGTCTTATTAAGATTGATAAGAAAATATTTGTCAGATAAGCAGAGAAAGAACTCTGGATTTTGCAACTTGATTGGTAAAGGTTTAAATATATGGGGGGAAAAAACCTCATTTGTGTGGCTCTTCAAATGCCACTCCAAAGCAGTACGCAACACTTTGAAAAATATTGTGCATCCCACGTGATGTCAAATACAAGATACAATATGTACAGGAAATACAAGGACATGGATAGGTGGAGGCAAACATTTTGATGTGGGATTTTATTTAAAAAAATCATGGTCAAGAATATCTGTTTTGCATTCACCTCTGGAAACAATTCCAAAGTTTGAGCACCAGAAAGATGCTGAAAAATGCATTATTTGGGACTCTGCATATCTCACTATCATATCATATACTGTCAAAAGATGCAGCGTTGCATAATTTCATATGCCAGAGGTTGACTGAGTGCCACTGTATAGACTACCTCAGTAGTTTAGTCAAAATATAGCTTTAACATTTTTTTCAGTCAAGTTCCTAGTTTTTATTCCATTTTTTTTGTGATACTGTGATAACTTGAGATTTAAAAGGGCTTGCAATTAAAGTATATTTCAAGAGAAACAGATATTGATTTAGGCTTACTTCTTGGGCAGGCCAATGACTTGTAATTTACAAGGGAAAATGCAGGCAGGCAGCCTTTATGGATTGTTTTCTTGTCTTTTTGCTTTTCTAAAGCAGAGTTTAGCTGCTTCAATTGAAGGCAGAGTAGAAAGTTTTCTGAATTACAAAACAAAATTAGGTTGCCAAATTGAAAGTAAAAAGTTCTAATAATAATGTCCTTCGCTAAAAAGCTCTGCAACATTCTTGAAGTTGCTTTCTTTTTTCTTTCAAGTTCCTCTGATTCTTTTCCTAGGATTAATCTTTCCTGCTACCAGTCGTATGCTTTGGTGTATGCATCTTTCACTATGTCTGCAGAAATTGAGGCTGAACACGGGCTACTTTGCGCAGCTCCTTGCCATGTGTACTGGGACACTGCATTTCACACCAGCTTATTGGCACCATCTGTACACCTGAGATAAAAAAAGTCAATATTTATATAGACATAAACTCCTGAGGAAAAAAAGAGTCCTGTGCTTTGGAAAATTACCCTGCAATTAATTTCTGATGTTGTCACAACCTTGCTATCTTTAAATTCAATAATTCCAGTTCAAAACGACTCACCCACATGTATAGCTTTCACTTTGACACTGAAGAACAGCTGTTTATGTGGACTGGATATTATTCTAGATTTTCCCATTTAGATATAGTGACATTTATGGCATCCCTGATATTTCCTACAAAATCACATCTGCAGAGAGTTGAAACTTAAAAAGTTGCCAGTGTGTACATTTAAGTTATGGTTTTTCATTTTATTCAGAAAATAATTGTTCTTACCTGCTTCACTGTGAGCCACTACTACTCCTAGCTCATTTTCTGCTGTGGTCAGCAAATAATTTGATTGTACATCCCCTAAAGAGATCTAGTCCACAGGTTAAGAGAAAAAGTCTGAAAATTTCCACAGAAAATCACAAATGCAGGCAAAAAGACAACCGCAGAAAAAGGATACAACTTTGGCCAAAACAATATCTCCTGGCCGGAAACTCTTGTAAACTTCTATCTATCAACATATAAAGTAGGAGAAAAGAGAAAGCAAATGTCAAAATGCGAGGACAATTTTGAGGGACAAATGTCTCTGGCAAATAGAGCGATAAAGCAAGTCCAGTTTGGATACAGAAAGGTTTGAAATAATTATGACATTTTTTAAAAAGTAAGTGGCCCTTGCTTTAGCCACAATAATTGAGACTGAAATTTCTATCACTAAGCGATGTAAAGTGCAATGTCACGTGACCACACTCCTTGGCAATGGCATTCCCAGCAGTCTCCAGCTATTATCATTAAGTGAATTATTATGGGCGGTTAAGCTAGGACAGGGGTAGGCAACCTTGGCTCTTTTATGACTCGTGGACTTCAACTCCCAGAATTCCTCAGCAGCCATGCTGGCTCAGGAATTCTGGGAGTTGAAGTCCACGAGTCATAAAAGAGCCAAGGTTGTCTACCCCTGAGCTAGGACCTCATGTGATCCAGACTTCCTGCCAGCTTCCCCAATGACTTTGCTTAGGGGAAGTCAACAGGGATGATTGCAAATCATAACCAAAGGTCCAAAATCCAGGCCATTTGCCAAGTAACCGGATCATGATTATGTAAGTATGGGGGGGAGGGGGGCTGCAACACATGGAACTTTGAGGACTGCTCATAAAGTATCACTTGTTCAGTGTCACTATGAGTTCAAATGGTCACTGAATGAGTGGTCGTTATCCATCGGTATTCTTACCCTCGCAATCAAATTACTACCCCAAATATGCAATTTTTGTTCCTAACAAGTTTTAGCAATCACCTGGAAACTATACCAATACATGTGGAATAAAATGATTGAACATATCTGTAAGTTCATAGATATTAATGTAAAAAAAGTGCTTCTCTGCCATATTTTCTTCATTTGATATAACCAAATATAAAGCTATCTGACCTTGTCTTTCTCTGTAGCTCGGATATCTTCTCTGCTATAATGGAAGAAAAGATGAAATCGTAATTTTGCCAATTTCTTCTCTCCCCTCTTCAACTAATCTTACAGAACAAGGCAACTTTATCCCCCCCATGCATCCTACTCCCTCCCTTCCCATCTTTTAGTTACAGTTGATGTTTATATTTTTACTGCATATGGGCTTTGTAATATTTTATCTTCTAATATTGTAAACCACCCAATTACCCTTGTGGTAAGGTGGGCAGTCAATAACGTTAATAAATACATAAATAAAATAAAACATGTATATTGTATAATAGTATAATTTAGAAAGAAGTTAGCTAATTATATGAAAAAAAATATAATCAGCAGAGCTTAAGAACCAACAATATTTCCAATTCTCATTATCACTCAAATATCAATGAGAATCAGATGGAGTATTAACATACTGTAGTTTGCTTATTCTCTCATCACTAATGCCACCTTCAAAAAATGTCCACAAAATAGTTTTCTTCATACCGTATTGTTCCACGGAATGGGGATTTTAATGGTGTAGAACCAACATATAAAATATGCACCTTGGCAAAACGAGAGTTAATACTGCAAACCTGAAGTGAAAAAGAAAAAAAGCAACTTTTAGCAATGATCTGTTCTCTCTTATAACTTCAGGATTGTAATTGATAATACTTCAGTTCTACATAATGAAAATAACCAAGCTAATCTCCAAGCTGGGATATATAAGCCTTTTCTCTTTCTGCAACATCACAGTAGGCCTGCTAAATACTGAATGAAGGGACTAAACAACTAAAAAACGTAAATAAAAACAAATGTAGACAGCAATACTGGCAATATATTATGATTATGACTTAGGTTTCACATACTCATTTTATTGTAGGGAAAATGATCCCACATTTAACTAATACCAGAGAAAGATTAGACAAAAACTTTATCTGTTTCACTCATCACACTGTTGGCAAATCTAACATGAGCTTCCAAAGATGAATGAACTGCAGGGGAAAAAAAATCCTACTCTTCACTTATGGGTAAATATAGCATTCTATCCATTTGTATTACCTTTTATTTTCTTGATACTAATTGCTGATTTTAAAATAACAATGAAATTATTAGGGAAATCTGCTGAGGTTACCTTGCAGGTCACTATGGCTCCCACATCGGGCAGTAGCTGAGATTCCACATCTCTCATCACAGAGATTACCGGGAGCTAAAGGGAGGGTGCAAAACCAGCAAGATTCATCCATGCATTGAGGTACCACCAAGAGATAAGTTGAAGTTCAACCCCTTCTGGATTGCCTGTATGTCATGTTATTCAAGGCATGCAGTCCTTATCATTATCCCTCCCACTGTCATCCACAGCATATACTGCTACATGCAGTCCTTGTTTAATGATGTTTCACAAGTTATAATGGCCTATGGAAAGGGTGCTTTACAGCCCATAAAACACTTCTGGCTATTGTAAAATGTTGCATTCCCCCCCCCCCCCGGTCATATGGCTGCATTTTGGGCACTTGGCAGCAGGCTCAAATTTACAACTGGTTGCAGTGTCCTGCAATCATGTGACCACAACTTGCAAGGTTATTTTTACTGGTTTCCAGTATCTTTTGCTGTTTTTGGATTCAGACTTATAACCGCAGGATTCATTTAACAAACATGTGATTTGGACTTACAATTACATGATCAGCTTAATGACTACTGTAATATTGGTAATAAAATCAGGTCCACTGACATGGGTGCATGCCTTACAACTGAAATCCCAGTCACAATTGAGACGTTAAGAAGCTAAGGAGTATTTCTATGCAGAAATATTGATTCTCACCGTGCCATTCTCACTTTTCTTCATGAAACAACCAGCCAGAGAGGCAAAGATAGAACCATGACGTGTATAGGTGCCATTCCCAGGGGTTCCTTCTTCCAAACTGCAGAGCCGCTCTCCTGTGAAATAGAAGGCAAGACAAAACAGCTTATTTTCCCATTGCCACATCTTCTCGTATTCTAAATACTCATGTCTGATTGCTCTCACTAGAAATTACTTCCTCTGTGACATATGTACACGAGTTTGTGTGTAACACTAATAGATACTATAGATAGAATAAATGAGTAAAGAAAAAAAATAAGAACACAAGAATAGCCCAACTGGATCAGGCCAATGGTTAATCCAACACTTTGTTTCTCATCATGGCCAAACAGAAACCTCTGGAGTGTTTTCAAGCAGATGGCATTATACCTACTTGCAACCAATACTACAGTAGAGGCATGGAGTCCCTAATCTGGAGGCAACAATACATCTCAAAACTGGAAGGCTTTGATTAATGTCATCCATGAATTTATCTAATCCCCTTTAAACATCCAGATGAAATATTTTTGTCAAATCCTGTAGTAATTCTACAAATTAATTTTGCACTACGAAAAACAATACTTTCTTTTGTCAATTCTAAATGTCTTTCTAATCAATTTAATTGGATGGCCCTGATCCTAATATTTTGAGGTACAGATACTTTTGTTTTAGTACTATCTGCATGGTATGCATGATTTTGTACATCTTAATCTTGTTCCTGCTCAAATGACCTTCCAAAGGAAAAAATCCTACATGTTTTAGTTTTTTTTTTTTTTTTTTCAATATAAAATTTTTATTTTTATCATAAGAAAAAAGAAATACATCACAAATATTTCACAATATTATATCCCATCCCCCCACCCCCCGGACTTCCCAAACCAACCTAGGCTAATATTCAAATACAAGTAAACAAATATTAATATCTCTAACTCCAAAGTCTAAACTTAAACAATCCATCTCC